AGTTTTACAGATAATGCTGGTTTATGTGGTATACCTGGACTACGCCCATGTGGACCCCATCTATCTGCCAGCGCAAAGATTGGCATAGGATTTGCTGTGTCTCTATGTTTTCTACTCCTTGTTATCTGTTCAATGTGTTGGTGGAAAAGGCGGCAGAATATTCTTCGAGCACAAATGATTGCAGGTTAGTAGTTTTTTTGGTCACAGATTGCAGGTTAGTATATTCTAGATAAAGCTCTGTGACAAAAAGGGGTGAAAATGATAAAACTCTACATGCACCACTGCTTGCCTCCATTTATGTGAAATTTGATGCATTTATGTTATTAAAAACTGGTCTACTTTTGTTTGTTCTTCCTGGAATATGTGTCCTGTGGGATGAAAATAACATTATTTTGAACTATAAATTCAAAGAGAGCATAGGTGCAGAAGCAACCTGTTTTAATTTTATTCGTTATGTAAATTTATGGTGTTTCCTTTTCTTGTACAGCAAGAGGTGCTCCCTATGCAAAAGCAAGGACCCATTTATCTCATGATATTCAGTTGTCAAAGCATCAAAATCATGGCCATTCTCGAACTGCTGTTGAAAATGGACCTAGCTTGCTCTCATGATTAACAGCCGTCAAACAAAATCCTGATGTATTCCATCTCTGCTCCTCTCTCGGCTGTTTCTTTAGCTCATAATGTTCTGCTTAATTGTCTTCATCGCAAAATCTTGCCAGGGGAAGCTGAAATAATCCAATAGAATAACTTCTACTGGATCAGATCCCTAACGGGTAACACAGAGCCACAAACTTCTTCAGAGTAAATTATCTTGTACATTACTTTCATTCTTCTTTTTCATCAGTTTTGGCAGAAGAAATGTTGTAAAATATCAAATAACAGGTGGATATGGAAGTCAATAGATATGAACATGTTTTTCTCGTGTCTTTCCATGGGAACATGTGGATAGGTTCATCTAAACTGGAAACAAGAGGCAGGTATTTCTCAAAAGTGTAAGCTTGATCTCGTCGTGGTTCTCATATTTGTTTCTACTGTTAAAGCATCTAGGAATAAAAAGCAGCTTAGTGTCTGATTTTCTCCTGTGATTTTCTCATACAATCGCTGTGATGTTTATGATCTATGATTGTTAGTGAGAAACTATGAAAGCATTTCGTGTTATTTCAACTTTAGCAAAGTTCTAGAGTAACCATTTTCTTTTTCTTTTTTTTTTTTTGGTAGAAGTTCTAGAGTAACCAGTTAACCATAGCTTCAGAGGTTTATCCTTTTGAGATTTGTTACTGCCTCAGCTTGCTATGATAACTAAAAGCGTATCATGTGACATACCTCCCTAGTCTATGAAAATTTAACCTCTTCACCATACTAGCTGAGCAATTAAATTCACTGGACAGATTCAGAGGGTCCATGCGTGTGTGTATTTATGTATATATAGTCTTTGTAATAATTTTGCAGTATTGTCACTTTCTATATTTGTTTTCAAGAAAAATATATTATTTTATAATTTAATATAATTTAAATTATAAAATAATATTTTTATTTAAAATATATTTTAACATTTTTTAATGATATATTAGTACACGATTATTTGGTTAATAGAAGAAATTTTTAACAAATCTGTTTTTTTTTTTTTGGGAGTTTTTTTGGAGTGCAGAAAGGAATAGGTTGAAATGATAATCCATTGAAATTCAGAGGTCAGTTTGTACTGAATATCAGAAAAAGAAAGACCAATCCACATAAAATAATTTCCACACGTGTCATGAAACAACAGACCAAACCAGGTCAAGAAACAACTATCCAAAACCATGAAAATACCTTCACGTGACCATGTGTCAGTTTACCTGCAGTCATTCAGCCTCCCCCCCGTACACTTCCCACTCTTCTAGTTTTTTTACCCCCCGCCTATGGCCCCCATGGACCACCTCCAAAACCGAGTCAAACACGCCACCCCTTCCCCCCCCCCCCTCTCCCAACCCAACTCGGTCCTGTCTCCTGCAACTCAGACACCTCCTACGTACACTCCACGTGGGCTCCCTGCCATCTCTCTCCCCTCCCTACCCCTCCACTCACTACCCGACACGCCACCGCCTGCCTTCTGAATTCTGAATCTCTGATACCACACAATCATATATACCCCCCCTTTTTCAAAGATTAAAAAAATTTATAACTCCCGGCGCCGCTGAGCAGCGCCGTACAATAGTGTAGGGCTTACGTCATCACCGGTGCTGGGGGGGGCTAATCACATGACAGCCACACCTTCTCTCACGTCTAATCAGGCGGCGGCTACCTCTTTTATTTTATTTTATTTTTTTGAAGTAGGTCCCCTTGATTTTCTCTGTCTCCGCCCTTTCTTCTCACGTGTAAGCCTACAACGAATAGCCACCGTCTGATCAGTCTCATGAGATTATGATGAGAATCGTACGGTCAGGAATAGGGTTGTTAGTTTTTATATAAATCGAGAACTCGAGCCGTCCAGCCGACGATTACGGGAGACAGCTAGTGGGTCCCTTACATTTTATATACTCTTTCTCCCGTTCTCCGTCTTTCGGCTCGCTTTCTCTGCTCTCTCTAATGGCGTCGTCGCGGGAGGGGCACTACAGGGGAGTTCGGAAGAGGCCGTGGGGACGATACGCGGCGGAGATACGTGACCCGTGGAAGAAGACGAGGGTTTGGTTGGGTACATTTGACACGCCAGAAGAAGCCGCACTAGCTTACGACGGTGCCGCCAGGTCTCTCCGCGGCGCGAAAGCCAAGACCAACTTCCCTGCTCCCCCCACGGTCACCGGACTTTCCCTCGACCTCAACCTTCCATCCGATAACCACCACCATCACCATCATCATCGGTGGGGTCCTGCTTCAGCTCATCATCACCACCACCGTCTCGCCTTTGGCGAGTTTCTGCAGACTGATGTTGTAAAGGAGATCAGCTTCGACGGCAACTCCTCCTCCAGCAAGGCGAATGTCGTTACGGTTGCTAGTGGGCCTCCGGTGACGGAAACCGGATCCCCAGCGTCATTTTTCGGTGTTGTACGACGTGGGTTGCCAATAGATTTGAATGAACCTCCTCCCCTGTGGCTGTGAGGAGAGCTGTGACTGACAGAATGAGGTTCCTGTAGGCATATTTTACGGCATCGTTTTTTCTTGTTTCCCTAACTCCCCTTTATTCCTTCCCATATCGTTAGGTATCTGCTTCTGTTTTCTGGGTTTTGAGAGCATATTGAAAAAGTGAAGAACCTTTGTGTAAATACATATGTTTTCTATGAAATATCATCTCTTTTCCCCTTTTTTTTTTTCCCTTATGTTGGAATTCTTGTTTACGTTGATTCAAACTCATTCCTTTCAATCAGATGGTGTGGAAGGATTTGGTATGCTTCTAGTTAACGCTATACTACAAATTAAAAAAAAAAAAAAAGAGTTGCTTCAATTCACGCGCCGGGAAATGAGAGTGGTAAAGTATGACTAAGATGTGGAAGTGAGGATGTCGTTTAGGGGAAAAGCGAAGCAAGCGTGTGCGTTTAGCATTCCTTTTTTAGTTCGCCAGTGCAGAGATCTGGTTCTGATAAACTTCGCAAGTGTCCATTGTAGACCCACTCGCTTGTTCAAGCGTGTGCATTGCCCTTCAAACCGGAAGCACAAAACAAAATTTGCCCCAGCTGGAGTAAATTTAGTAAACCGTAATTACAACTGTGTTTAATTGATTGATTCACTCATGTTCTGTTATACGTTTACATCATTGCTAATATTAACTTTTCAATTATTCTAATTCTCGACTCAAGGTTTGTATTGGGAATGAGGACTTTGAACCCAATAACTTGTGCTCTTTAACCAACTCGGCTTAGAGTCCGGGTGCAATGAAACTTTAAATAAGATTTTGCCATTTTGGATGTCATTTTCTAATGATGGGGTCCTGACTTAATATGTACAATATTAATCAACGAAAACATTAATTTATAGTAGCATTGATTTTTTTTACATGTTTAAAAATACATTATATAATAAAAAATAATTCTCTCATTTTTCTCAATAGTTGGGAAGAAATCTCTCCCGGCTCATTTATGGATGGTAATATGGAATAGGCTTAACCCGCTGTGCCCCCCTCCAACTTGTCATCAGTAAGGGTTTTAGCCCCTTAACAAATAATGTCTCTTATTTAGGCCTTGAACTTGTTGTTTTTGACAATTTTAATCCAAAATTTACAGTAGTTTGTCATGTTTGTCCCCTAAGTTGTTAATGCATGCCTACTCAGCACCATGTCATTGCCACGTTGGAGGAAAAACAATCCAAGCTAGACCAATAAAGGTGGAAAAACTTGACTTGACACCTTTAAACTTATTGTTTTTGAGAGCTTTACGCCTTCAACATATAATATAAGAATTTTAGCCCATGATCTGCACATCTTTTGGATAATAAATCAACAATTAACCGTTAGAGTAACATAAATAATATGTCCACTCATTTCTTTATTAAGTTATATTTCACTAGTACTATGTAAGCAAAAGAGTGATAACATGGCATGATGATGTGGATCCTACATTAATTTTAATTTGAAAAATAAAATTAATTTTTATTTATTCCACCTTTCTCATCCACATTTTCAAATCTCTCTAATCTCTCTCCTCACGTCAAAGCTCATCCTTTAGACATAGTTGTTAGGTTTTCATTGCCTACATCTTTTTAGTGAAAATGGTAATATTAGCCCTAGATACCATTCCCATCACAAATAAAACAAAAGACCCACAAACATTAACACCCAATAGGTGAAAATTGGGGGCTTTAAAGAAGACTTATGGTTCATTGGGAAATTCTACATTGATCAAATCTAGGGTTCTCTTATGAGAAAAGAGAGGGTGGAGGAAGGTATAAGAAGAATGAGAAGTTGGAGAAGAGTGCAAGAAAGAGGTGACAAAAGTAAAAATTAATTTTATTTTTAAAAATTACAATAAATGTAAGGTCCACATGGCATATGGTTATTTTTATGTTAAAATAACACTAACGAAGTATGACTTAGTAGAGAAATAAGCAAATATATCACTCACATTATATCCATGATTAATTTTTGAGTTTATTATTTGGAAGATGAGTAGTTCATGGGTTTAAATTCTCATATTGTATGTTGAAAGGCTAAACCCCTCAAAGATAACAAGTTTGAGGGTGCCAAGTCAACATCTTTCACCTCTATTGGTCTAGCTTAGACCATTTTTCCTCCAGCATGGCAATGACATGGCACTAAGCAGACATGGGTTAACAAGTTTGCGATAGATGTGACTAATTACTGCCAGTTTTGGGCCAAAACCCTCAAAAACAACAAGTTCAAGGCCAAATAACGGACATTATTTGTTGAGGGGCTAAAACCCTCAATGACAACAAGTTGGAGGGGGCACAAGAGATTAAGCCTATAGAATATGTGAAATAAGTTAGTGAAATGGATGAAGTTCAGGAAAATGCATTTGGTTCTTCGCCGGCTTTGCTTTTCTGTCGCTTTCCCGGCCCTGGAACTTCTTTTTCTCGGCAGATGTGGCCCATTTTATCTTTGTTCTAATTATGTAATTAATGGTATAATTTAACTTATCCATCTCTTTCTTCGGCTCCAACTATAATTTTGTTTATTAATCATTTTTTAAAAAACACAAATCCTTATTTGTCCATGTGATGGGAGCGGCGCCTTATTGGGGCAAGCGCACACATGACCGGTTGTTGTGTAACAAATTTCGCATTCACATATAATTTCAAAATCCTAAAATAATTAAAAATAAAATAAAATCGAAAGAAAAAAACATTATTTTGTCCTGATAGGACTCTCGATTATACTATTATATTTTAAAAATAATGTATTATTTTATAATTTAAACTATTTCAAAATATAAAATAAAAACTTTTTACAAGAAAAAAAAGCTTCTAATATTAAAAAGTTTTTTAT